GCCCACCATCCTGCCTCGTCCTATATGACGAAAATGAAATTCTCGGTCGACGAGAAGCGCACTATGCTCGCTATATAGCAAGGGCTCTCGACCTGAGTGAGCGTGTAGGTAGGTTTAGCCTATCTGAATTATCGTTCGTATCGGCCATCGACCCATAGTTTGTGACGGAAACCATAATCGGCGAGACTGGATTTTCTATTCGGCCAGATCGAGTTTTCAATAACATCCTTTAGCACAGGATGGCGATAGCATCATCGTGACCACCGGTATAGCCATAGAAGGGACTGCCATTCTGGCTCGAGAATTCGCCGCAGACCTTAGCCGTCTCGGAGTGAACGACGATGACATCGCCCGCGCAGCCGATTATCTGAAGACGCCCGGCATCAGCGTGGTGTCGGCCGCCCGCGCGTTGTGCGACTCTGTGGATGTCCACAGCATGCACGATATAACGGAAGGAGGCGTGATAACTGCGCTTCGGGAGGTCGCAATCGGTTCTGACGTCGGACTCGTGGTAGAGGCAGAAAGCATGCCCATACTGCCGGAGTCGGTCACGATCTGCCAAGTTCTGGGTATCGACCCGCTGGGTCTCCTGGGCTCCGGAGCATTGGTAGCCACTTTGTCGTCATCGGACGTACCGCGAGCCCTGCGAGCTCTCGACGCCACGGGCGTCAGCGGTTGGGAAGTCGGTCAAATCATGGAAGCCGACGAAGGATTATGGATGGTAGACCGCACCGGCGACAATGCCCTGCCCGAGTTTCGCCGTGACGAATTAGCCCGCTACCTGGAAAGCCGTGAGGACCCTTCGTAAGAACCGTTACCTCCCATCCAGGTAAACCGCTATGCACTCCTGAAGTTGCGCCAGCGTTATGTTTGCTCCGCTGACCGTAACCGATACTTTCTTGCCCTGAATCAGGTCGGGGCGCTTGACCGCGCCGGCCAACGCGGTCGCTCCCGCGCCCTCCGACAACGTGTGTGCCTTTCACGGCATGCAGCTGGCAAAAGCTCGCCGCGTATGTCGTCCATCGCTAACGAGAACGAAGGTCCTGTCCACGAAGGTTTTTGCCTTTATGTCGATCATGAGTGTGCGGCGGCACTCGTAACCGGTCGCGGTGGCAGTGCCCTCTACCCAAGTTTGCATCGCAAAGCGCTGCAGCCAGCGGCCGCTTGCTCCCGAAAAGACAGGTAGGCAGCCGTGGAGGGTAGTTATGTGGTGAGTGGGTTGTGGGAGAGATCGCAGACTGGCGATTGCGCTTGCGATTACTGGTTGGTTTCGAGTGAGTGACTGCTACTATACAGCGTCCGGAGGATCGCACTTGCCTCCACCGATGGGCAGAACAAGTACATCCACATCCGGCAGATCTTCGATCACTTCCAGAGAAGCGGTGGCCACTCCGGCGATAAGATCGGGTTCGTTTACCGGGTGCACGTAGCGGTAGCCCTCCTCCGCGGCCAAACGTTCACAATGCACTCGGGCTTCGTCAAAAGTGCTGTCCGTGTGAAAAAGCTCTGCTCGCAACCCAGCGTCTCATTGAGCGGCGACTTTGATGGGGTTCGCGTCTCTGGGAAGGCCGATCAATGCACGGACTCCGAACATGCGGCATGCGCTGGCGATCGACTGGCCATGGTTCCCACTGCTCGCCGTGATCACCCCACGGGCACGTTCCTCGTCTGACAAATTCGCCAGGAAATTGATACCGCCTCGCGCTTTGAAAGCTCCCAACGGCGAATATTCCTCGTGTTTCAGGTAGATTTCGGCGTCCAGGGTTTGGCTCAATGCGGCTGAATATATCAACCGGGTTCGGCTCACGTGCGGAGCGATGGTTTTTCGGGCTCGATAAACGTCGCCCAGCGAAGGAATTATCACGGCAAGTCTTCTCCTACTGCACCAGCCTATCGCGGTAACTGACGGTTCCAGACTAGGGAACGCGGGTTTCGGTGTCAACAGCGGTACGACAACCAGCGGCGAACGGCATTCGGGGGTTTTTCGGACGCAGCGCGATGCAGCAACCAGGCCGCCGGTTCGCATTTGGAACGGGGAAGCGTCAACCCCAGGACCAATGATGATTGACACCATGCGACCCTCAGACTTCCCAATCGGTCGTTGACGCCAACCCCCGCGCTTAGCAACTACTTGACCTATTACACTAAACCCGCGTATGCCAACAACGGCGGCTTGGTACATTGAAAGCGAGTCGTACATCGCGCTACACCACAGGAATACATTTATCCGTTGCAATAAAATCAGTACATTAGTGGCGCAGTTCGAACATCCGGGAAAGTACACTGAAGTACATTGCATCCTCGATTACATTTTCAGTCGCGGCCACGTCCGTGTAACCAGGAGCCAAATACATTTTCGCCGCGGTCTCAGTAACCCAGCTGACGCAACCTACGTCCAAACCCTCTCATGGTTCACGTTGCCAGGCGCCAGCCCCTGGTACCGCGGACCCAACGAGTTGCGCCCTGGTAATGTACCGAATTCAGCGGGGCGCGCACGGTCCCAACTAGGTAATCGATGAACATCAGCGCCATCGGACCTCATCGGGGTAGTTGGAGCTGCCAGCGCAGCGTGGAAGTGTAACGTTCAGTTCGAGGGAAACACCGGTCCGGAAAAACACGATACCTAGCCACGCCAGAGTCGTTCGGCTGAAACCCCGCCGTGGCGCATAAATTCAGTCAAAATCCGATTATTGTGCAATTGGTACGCTAGCAGAGGCGGGGAAAGTATGTCAAAATACCCATGTATCAAGTGTGGTTCTATAATTTTCTAAAAATATTTTAGAATTATTCTTTACTTGGTATTGACATCCATCGAAACACTTGCTAATGTAACGCCGATTCGGATGAGAAAGAAACAAAATACGGGAACCGCCGGTCATTGTACAAATGTATCACGGGTTTCAGGTATTGGAGGTGCATTTTGGCACGCAAGACTAAACTCATGCTTCGTGTAGAAAGGGAATTCGAAAGCCCTCTGGAACGATTACTCCCAGAGTTGGTTAATGATCAGGGTCTCACTGCCACCGCCGACACTCTCGGTGTGAGTAAGGCGACCCTGGGTTACTGGATGCTCAAGTTGGGTATTAACGTGCGCCGCGTAGCCCTGGCCCCGGGCGAGATCCTGGAAGTCAAACGCACCAACTAAATGTCGACTACGCCCAGAGCGACCGCGTGGCCGCTCCGGGTGCAGCGAGGGACATCGTCAGGCTAAAGGCGAGCTTGTCTGCAGGTGTTCCGAGCCCGTTGTTTCTACAACGGACAGCAATGTGCCCCGGCCGGTGGCAAAGATGGCCGGGGCATTAGTTTGTCATTGCGGCGGCTGCGGCGAGGTCTGATCTTCTACATCAGCACCTATACGAGCACGGTCGCGATCACCCGGAGAAGATATCCTCCGGCAGGATGGCAGACACAGTTACGTTGGGCAGGTCTACGATGTTGCTCACCCGAAGGTCCACCGCCACGCTGCTGATTATGTAAGCCTGTTCAGCGGTCCATCCCCGCTCCTGAAGTAACGCAATCATGTTTAGCAGGGCATTTCGTGCTGCCAACGACAGGCTGCCCTCGCCCTCCTGTGTCCCGTCAGCGCGAATGGGATACCCCAACGTTGCAATGAAATTGCGGGGTGCGGCCCACTCGGGTGGCAAAAAGTAACCAGGGTGAGAGAATCGCGGGAACGTTATGTTATGCCGTTCCGCTTCGCCTTTATGTAGTGCGAACCGAACTGCCGCCGTAGCACCATCTCGATGGCGGTGATGCACACTTCACCGTCGCCCTGGGCAAAATGGCCGTCGCCGGCCGAATACAGGCCACCATCCACCGCCCACCAGGTGGGTGTACCAGATCGTCGAATCACCTCTCGTAGCTGCTTGCATCCACGTTACTCCCACCGTTTCCCGGGGCGTGGCAAACGTTGTCTTAAACCCAAACCCGCTCGGCTATCTGCGGCCGGCGCGTCTGATCTCCTCCCGGATCGGGCGGCGCTGCCTGGCCACCACGCCGCACCCAGTCTGCTTCCCGCTCGGCCCAGGAAACCAGTTGGGCGTAAGAAGGCGCCAGGCAGCCGTGCCCATGAACGAACCATCGGGGATACGAACCCCCGGAATCTGTTCCGACGTGGCCCATCCGTCGGACATGTTCCAGTGCACCAGATAGGGTTCGGTGAACACGTCGCGCAGGAAACCGGCGCCGGGACGGTTGCGTGTCCATCCCCTGGGCTGCGCCACAATGTCGAGATATTCGATCTCGAGCAAGTCACCCGGTTCGGCGCCTTTGACATACACCGGCCCGGTCAATGGGTGGGCCACCTTGGCATCCAACCCACCCAAATCGGCGGAGGTCATGTTCGGCTTCTGAATCTGGCAATCGGAGGCATCTCGAGTTTCCAGCACGACTTCTTCGCCTTGGTCAACCTCAACGACCGGCGGGAGTGTCGGAGGGGTGTCGCATCGGTTGTGACCCGTGCGCTCTTCCTTTAATTAAGCCGCTGCGCGGTCGATGTTGATACTTTTCACAGATTCACCTCATGCGTCAGTTGCGACCGATGCAACGAACGGCTACAACGACCAGTCGTCGGGCAGTTCGGGAGTGGGCAACGGCCGGATCATGACTTCTACCAAAGCCGGCTGACCTTCTTCGGGCCCGGATAGCGCGCTGGAACGCCGGCCTGATGTCGTCAGGGTGCTCCACACGTTCAGTCCAGGCGCCCAGACCCTCACCGACGACGCTGAAATTACCACCCAGGACGGCCATCTCAGGAGGAGTTCCGGCGGGATTTTCCATGCCCATCATGCCGCCGCCGATGCCGCCGTTATTGATGACGACGGTGAGAACACCCAGACCCATCCTGGACGCGGTTTCAACCTCCATACCGGTCATGCCGAAGGAGGCATCTCCCAGCAGGTGCACCACCAGGTGATCGGGGCGAGCCAGCTTGGTGCCGATGGCGGCTCCCACCGACCAGCCCATCGCCGCCATCCCACCCATGGCCACGAAGTTGCGCGGTTTGGTGGTGGTCCAGAAGGGAACCATGTAGCCACGGCTGCCACCGGCGTCGTGAAGGGCGATGGTGCGCTCGGGATCGGTGAGCTGCTGCAGTTCGTACACCACGCGGTAGCCATTGGTGGGTGTTTCGGTGTCGGTGAACCGGGGCATCCACTCGGCATTAGTGCTTTTTCACAGCAACATGCAAAAGCACAAAACACCACACAACACAACAATGCGACACCTTATTTCCTCGCTCGGTTCTGATTTGATGCCGCGCCAGATGTCCCAGCCCGCGCCTTGACCGCATCTATGATGGCCGCAAGCCAGCTTGGCGGTCGGCAAGGATGGAGATCCACCTGGTAGGTTTTGTTCAGATCGCAGCATCGGCGTTGACCTGATGATGCTGACGCCCTCAGGTAGTTGGACGCGCATCGGTGCCCGTTGGGCTGGCGGAATGAGTTGCCAACTGCGAGCGGACAACCTCGGCCTTGCGATTGATCTGCAGGGCGGCGCCGGAGGCCTAGCGCTACTTGTGATAACACCGCCGCCGAGAGAAAGCGATGGTTTTCCTGGACGATCTTGCCCATGATCGTGTGTTGCAACCGGCATGGACAGGAGTTCGGCCAGTGTCCGATGACTTTCGTCGGCGGCGCCGGCGCCCATGGCTCCACCACCGGCGTTGAGGACGGGCAACCGGGCGTTCACGAGAAGATCGGCGGCGCGTTGGACATCGGCGTCCGAAGGGCCGGCTTTGCCCGGCGTTCCCACCGCGGTATATGCCAACACATCGTCATCGGCCTGGGCCATCAGCACGTCCTGGTGCATCTCCAGAACCACCGGCCCGGGGGAACCCGAGCGCAGGGCGGTGAACGCACGTCGCATCACCTTGGGGATATCCTCGACCCGGGTTAATGCGCCACGCCATTTGCAGAGACCATACGAGATGATGCTGCCGATCCTTCCTCTGCTGCATTCTGACCGAGGTTACGCATGGGTGCGTGGCCCTGGAAGCAGACGGGATGTGTCGCGTAGCAACCGGCGATGGCGGTGAGGCAGTTGGTAGCGCCCGGGCCGGTTCCGGTCATGGCAACGCCAACCTCACCGGTGGCCCTGGCGTAGCCATCAGCAATTTCCACGCCGAGGCGTTCGTTGCGAGCTGCGAAGGGTCGGATGGTCGAGGAATTACGCAACGGTTCCCAAAGCGGAGCCAAACCCCCGCCGGAGAACCCGGTTATGTAACGTATTCCCTCTTTTTCCAGTGCCTGAATAACGGCGTCGGCTCCACGCATAACGGCTCCTTTCCTATCAGGGCGGAGCGGTCAGCGCCCCTCTACCACATCTGATCATCCACCCGGTCGCCGCTCCGTGATGGCCCGGATGATAGGGCAGGCGGGCTGCGGGGTCAACCGGGGGCGGCACTCACGACCGTGGGTGCCGGGTTTTTCACCCTCACCCTGCCCTCTCCCATCGAGGGAGTGGGGGGCCGATTCCGACATGGATGGGCAGGATGGACAGGATTTTGGGCGGTGGCCTGCAACGGGGTTGCCACGTCGCCGCGCTCCTCGCAATGACGGGCGATGCTACTCGACATAGGTTGCGCTTGCGGGGCGGGCCTTGCCGCCGTGGACGCTGGGTTCGGCGCACCACTTTTGGGCGAGGCGACGAACGGCGCGGTAAGTTGCTTCGTCGAAGCCGAGAAGGTCGCAGATGACGCGCCGGTCCAGGAGGGCACGGTTGGGGTCGGCGTCGGCCAAGTAGGCGGGCATTAGGTCACGTTGCGCGAAAGTCGTCGAAGATGTCCTTGGCGGTGGCGAGTTGGTCGTCGGACAGCGTGCGGAAGTCGAGGACGGGGAGAGAATCGACCGAGCTTATAGTCATTCTAGCTTTACTTGATTGCTGGCGACTCGAGTGCCACCAATAAGCAACCAAACCCAATGTGCTGTTTCCCCATACCGCAAAGGCGTGTTCGAATCGGTTTTCGTCAAGACGTACGTTGGGCCACGCAGGTCCGCCCAAGGATTCCCGAATTGTGTACGCAACCGCGAGGGGCTGAGAGCCGAACGTATATTCACGTTAAG